CCTGTGATCGCTATAGGAAAAGGGTGTTGGTTTTACTCTAGCCTCCCCAGAAGGAGACCTTTTTGGAAAGTGGATTCAAAGTTTTTAAAAATATGAAACCTTCAGGGAATATTCTCATACCAGCTGGTTCAACATGGAACCCCTGTGCTTGGCAGAGAATTCTGGGGCACTCAGTGTGCTTGCCCTGATTCTTGCACCTCACAGTATCCTGAGTCTCTTGGACAGTGAACTTCAGAACACACCTAGCCCTCCTCTGAGGCTGGGGGTGAAGCGGAGGAATTCAGATTGGTTTACATGTCAATGCGAACCTCCCTAATCTTGCACTTCCTGAAACGGCAAGCACACCGAAAGGCATCTATCCTGTGAAAGTCACACTTCTCTTCAAATTTTGTGATGCATTACTCTAACTAAAAAAAAAACCACCTGCATAAATATATTTGGGGGAAAGGGTGTATAGAAATGTCTATCACCAGTGAAGACTGCTTTGCGAAAGTGTGTATGTCAGCAAAATGCCATGCAAAAATGGGCAGATTAGGATACAGTGGATGTCATTATCATGCACTATATTATTATGCGCTCTCATATTAGGATAAAGTGCGAATTAGGATAAATTAGAATAAATGAGCACTAAAGAGTTGATGAATTTTAGTGAGGGATTCACTGATGAGGAAATGTGTTTTCCTACAGGCATCTGGTCGGCCACTGATCTAGCAGATTCTTTCTTTCTTTCTTTCTTTCTTTCTTTCTTTCTTTCTTTCTTTCTTTCTCTCTCTCTTATGCTCTTAAACTGAATTTAATATCTGAAATTGACAGATCTGCCCAAAGGGTGATCTAAACGATCAATGGTCTGGAAACCAAGCCTTATGAGGAACGGTTGAAGGATGTTTAGCCTGGAAAAGAAGAGCCTGAGAGGAGATACGATAGCCATCATCAAATATCTCTAGGGCTGACACAGGGAAGAGGAAGCAAGCTTGTTTTCTCCTGCTCTGGCCCCGAACCAATGGATTAAACACCAGGAAGAACTTTCTGACATTAAGAACTGTCCTTCACTGGAGGTTTTTAAGCAGAGGCTGGATAGCTATCTGCCCTGAATACTTTAGTTGAGATTCCTGCTTTGCAGGGCATTGGACTAGATGGTTGGACTACAGTTTTATGAATCTATAATTACCTGTCTTGTCTCCCTGCACCAAACTCCAGATGAAGCGGCCATCTATGCATGTGCTCTAATCTGCTCATGTGCAATGGCTATCTCAAACAGACACACCTCAGCTTCACCGTGGCTTCGGCTTTTAATCAGATGGAAGTTCATTGGACGGAAAGTGCATCAAACAGAGGCATTTCTCAAGAAACTACAGGGTACAGGTGGATTAATGGCCAATTTCATGTGCACTTGGCTTCAAACACCAGCACTGTCTCCGCTCAACATCTGAAGAAGTTTAGAAGAACTTACCTGATTTGCTCCCCCAGAAGCCTTCTCAGATTCATGCAACCTAAAGAAAAATGGACAAAGAAAGTCAAATAAATCACCAGAGAGTAAAAGGCAAGCCTAACACAGTTGTTTCTTCAATTCAATTCAATTCCATTCAATTCAATTCCATTCAATTCAATTCAATTTAATTCAATAAAATAAAATGTGCCACTTCCTGCTTCTTAAGTCCTCTACTGAGGCCTCTTGGACCTGCAAGGGAAATGTGAACTGCTGAAAATTCTCCTGCAATTTCCTTCCCAATGGAAATTCTTTCCCCACCTCTCAGTTTGCTCAACAGAGGAGCGGAACCTTGATGCGAGTTTGCAAAAAAGCCAGAGGAAGGTTTTGCTAAATGGAGCTGGTAGGCACAACCAGCCAGCCAGCCAAACTCTAACCGTTACACTAGTTTGTTAGTTTCCTGTTCAAAGCAGAAGCCCAGACTTACCTCACAGATGTGGGTTCTTTATCTAGAGAAAAGAAGAAGAAAAATCCCACGTAAGATGGAATATATATTTTTACCTGGGTTCCAAGCAATGCCTGTTCCACTCTAGATGCAGACCCTGCCAGGTGTGTGTTTGTGGGCATTCATGGGCTTCTCCCAATCATTTCACAACAGCGACAACAAAACAATCTCCCCCTGCCTGAGTTAAGACTCCCTGCTCTGCTGTGTCTCATAACTCAGAAGGTAATTTTGTGCTTTTTTAATGCAGTTCTTCTCAATTTTGTAGCTCATGAGCTAGAGCAGATAATCAAGTTTGCCCCATTTTATATTTCAGCCTACCATGTCCCAGTTCTTATTTTGGACCTGGCTTTGTTGTTGTTGTTGTTGTTGTTATTATTATTATAGTTTTATTGATTTTTACATATCATTCCCAAAGATCATATAACATATTTTCTTATCTTACACAATGTTTTGGACTTCCATCAACCACATCTGGTTTTTCAATCTTGATCATTTAATCTACGTTTCATTCATTTCCTTATTACTTTTAATAATCCTTAACTAATAATTCTCTTCATAATCTTCTCTGCAATATTTCACATAGTCCTCCTTACAAAACTTATTGCAGTCCTGCTAGCGTAATCTGTTTATTACAATTGCTTTTCAAATAGTTCAAATCTCTACTCCAGTCCTCTGAGAACCTCTGTGGGCCTGGCTTTGTTCCTGCAGCTCTCAGAGGAGGTGGGAGGGAACAACCAAGTCGATTCAGGAAGCTTGAAGTCTCTCCATGCTGGTCGTGGAGGTGGAAACCAGTCTCTGAGCAACACAACATAGTGATGGAGAGGGAGGGAGGCTGAGGAGGTGGTAGGCTGGGTTGGACCACTACTCCTGGGTGGGTGGGTGTGCAAATATTGCTGGTGCTTTAGAACCTATCTGCACTATTGGAGACCGTGATATTGGGCATAACTCTTTCACACACTTGTTTGCTAAATTAAAATCTCTCCCACCTTCCACCACGCAAGGAATTATTGCCCAGCAGGAGAAAACAGAGACAGGCACAAGTAGTGATACCTTTCCCTTGCTGAGAAGGGCTCAGAAGACCATCTGATGAAGCTGTGTTGGAAGATCCAGGAGAGATAAAGGGAGATGCTTCATCACATCAGACATGGATGGCACTTAGTCAAACTATGAAACTGACTCTGCCAAGATGATCACCACCAACCTGGGTGGCTTTAAAAGAGGATCGTGCTAATTCATGGAGGGCAAGGCACAGTGGTTATCAACTTTGCCCAGTGTCAGAGACAGTGTGACTCTGAAGACCACTGGGTGGGAATCACAGGTGGGGAGAGAACACCCAGGGGTCCTGCTTGTGGGTCTATGGTTGGCCGCTGTGAGAACCAGACGGCGGACTAGGTTGTCCTTTTGGCCAAACTAGCTGCCAGAACATAAGAATGGCCTGCTGGATCAGGCCAATGGTCTGCTGGATCAGGCCAATGGATCCTGCTTGGCAGGGGGTTGGACTCGATGGCCCTTGTGGTCTCTTCCAACTCTATGATTCTATGATTCTAGTCCAGGATCCTGTTCTCATAGTGGGAAACTGTGACCCGGCCACAAGAGCCCTCTTTCCTCCTGGCTCATAGCCCAGAGTCCTCTCCTCTACAGGTTCTTAGTTCTTCTTACGTTGACCATTCCTTTGTCCCAACAGCCCCCAAATATTTTCTGACTCTCAGTCCCTTTCAACCACCAGCTTCCTCAGTACGTCTGTATCAAACAAAGCCAGGTGATCATAACATGCCAGGGTGCGAGTTAACCCAACCATGAGGCAGCCTGCTCCCTCACCTCCCACAACATCAGGAATAGCACCTTCACACAGCGGCGTAGCATGGGTTGTCAGCACCCGGGGCAAGGCAAGTAATTTTCGCCCCCTAACCCGGGGCAAGGCAAGTAATTTTCGCCCCCTAACCCGGGGCAAGGCAAGTAATTTGCGCCCCCTAACCTGGGGCAAGGCAAGTAATTTGCGCCCCCTAACCCGGGGCAAGGCAAGTAATTTGCGCCCCCTAACCCCTAACCTGCCGCCGCTGCCAGCTTCTTCTTGCTGCTGCCTGGTCTGGTCTGGTGTGGTTCTCTCCCGCACTCAGCGCTGCGCTGGGCGGCCGCTGCACTGTCCCTCCCCCAGATAGTCCCTCGCTCTCTCTCCGCACCGCACGCCTGGCACCCACCACCTCCACAGTGGGCGGCGACCCAGCGGCTCAGATCGGATTCGCACAGCCAGCACTGCAGTGAGAGAGAGTGAGTGAGCCAGGTAGGGGCAGAGAGCTGCGAGTGCGAGCGCGCCCCCCCCAGATGTTGCGCCCGGTGCGGCCGGCCCCCCTGCACCCCCCACGCTATGCCACTGCCTTCACAAGTCTCTCCCTCCTCTTTGCCACCAGTTAAAGACTCAATAATTAGAACTGCCAGATTCTCACTTTCTCCCAAAACTTTCCTTGCTGACACTTTCAAAAGAAAACCCGTATTTATTTGTACGGGCGACATACGACCCAGCAAATTCTTATCGGATTATGCATCGAGTCAGAGAGACCCCAAAGTCTAGTTTGGCCACTCAGTGGAATGAACTTGAGCCGACTGCCGATGGGATCACAAGAGGCCAAGGATGGCAAGTGCCATGACATTCTGGAAGCACTTAAATTGTGCGAACTTAAATTGTATGGATTTAATCTGATCCAACCACCAGGGGCTCCTCCCCACACCTGCTGCTATGGGTCCCACAGCCATGGCATTGGGGGTAGGGACCCCATGCAGAGCCACCAGTTCATCCAGTTTGTGTGCCTCTATGTACCCCTGTGGGTGATCTGAACTGGACCCAATTGACCCAATGGCATTGCAGGGGGGTTGGACTCCAATTCTACGACACACATGCAACAAATATCCTTTTTACCCTTGTTATGCCTTGCATGGATGAAGTAGATGATAGTCACCACCAATACCACCAGGAGGGCACAAACCACAGCGCTGATGATGTAGATCTTCTTCTCATCTGCAAAGAGATTGCATTCATTTAGCTGGCAATTGGTGTCCTGCTTCCCCATCTCCGTAGCTCAGTGGTTTAAAGCATCTGCTTTGCATGCAGAAGGTACTGGGTTCAATCCCCGCCAGCATCTCCAGGCAGGGCTGCGAGAGACTCATGCTGGAAACCCAGGAGAGCCCCTGCCAGTCCATGTGGACAATACTAGGCTAGAAGGACCAATCCCTGTATTGGGGGAATTGCAAACTGCATAATAACAACAACTTTAGGGGTTTTTTGTTGGCACCTGTCTGTCTTGAGAGACAATGGATTTTGCCTCTGGGACCGAAGTCAGACCACGTCATTAGCAGCACCAAAGTGACCTCTCTGGGGTGCAAGCCTGGGCAGCATGTACAGAGGTCCTGGGCTGCCCAGATGACAAGACCCCCCTCTCAGCTCACTGGTGGGGTCCAAAGGAAGCAGAGCAAGACATTCAGCACCAGCTTGGCTGCTGGAAGGAGCTGTACAAGGCGCCAACCAACCCATCTTAGGGACTCCATTCCAGATTTGTGTAGGCTTTACTCCTTAGCCTTTTCTTCTCCCGAAGGCAGGTGTACATAAAACAATATGGCTTTCAATTTGATCTTAGCCTGATCTTTTATTTCCCCTCCTTCCTTCCCTCGTCTTTCCTTTTTTATTACCCACTCTGGGATCCCACAGCTAATTCTCCCCTGGTCTCCTCGCTGGCCCAAATAAGACTAATTTTGCCAACTAGCCCTGGTGATCATCTAATGCTTATTGGGTGGATTTCCCCCCTAAATTGATTTTTGAATTCTGAATTTATTGTTATTCACGTTTTATACTGTATTTTAAGCTGTTTTTTGTTGCATCAATTAAGTGTTTTAAATTTGTTGTTAGCTGCCCTGAGCCCGGTTTTCTGAACCGGGAAGGGCGGGGTATAAATAAAAATTTATTATATTATTTATTAATATAAAGCACTTAGCAACAATGCCCAGAAAAATTAACAAATATTGAAAACAAGCGCACGTAACTGAATTATGAGTCTGGAAAGCCTTGCTGATACAAAAGGAAAAGTTTTTAGCAGGCATCTGGTGGGGTTTAGCAAGGGTTCCTCCCTGGGGGACAGGAGAGGATGTCTGCATAGCAGTATATGAAGCAGCCATAGATGGAGTCGTTTCACCGGTCCCTCCAGGCCTGGACATTCTACATCAAGAGTCCTCCTAACCTTTTGGGCTTAGGGCCACCAAACACACACACATTTCTCCCACAAAAAAATGCTGGCAATGCTCAGGTTTCCCCTCCAAAACAGGCAGAACACCTACCAAACAAACAAACAAACAAACAAACAGGCAGCACCAAAACCCCACACTAACCCCAATCTCACTTTTTAAACCCTTGCTCTATCCCAGGTGTGGGGAACCTTTGGCTCCCTAGATGTTTCTGAACTACAACTCCCATCATCCCTGGCCATTTTGGTGATGCTTGCTGGGGCAGATGGAAGCTGTAGTTCAGTAACAGGTGGCGGGCCAAAGGTTCCTCACATCTGGTCCACATTCACTGGCAGTGACTGTCCAGGAAACCCATGACTCTGCCAGGAAATGTTGGCAATTGAAACTTGGATCTATTGCATGCAGAGTCTATATGCTCTTCCTGTGAGCTATAGCTGCTGCCCGTTAGGGTGTGAAGAGGTCTGAAGGCAAGAAGGCCTACACACAGAGAGACAGACAAAAATGAGAAATTTAAGTCAACACGGATCGAGGGACAGGTGAACACCTACCTGGCTCCATACTGACGCTTTCACTTCCTTCAGTCAGCACCCTGATGTTCAGCACGGACGTTTCAGTCGCTACAGGCTGAGAATTTTGCGTAACCAGGCAAGTAAATGCAGACTGGTTCCTTTCTTCCGTAGCATTCAGCTTCAGGGAGCTCCTGAGGGTGAATGTCCCATCCCCGTTCTGGGACATGGGCTCAGTCGTTCCTGTTTCACTCAGGCTGCTGTTCAGAGTCAAGGCCAAGGTTGTGTCTTCTGGGTAAAACCCTTCCGCGCTGCAGCTGAAGGTCACCGATTCGTTCAGCGGGACGGGGTTGGCTGGGTTGGCTTCCAGCTTCACTCTGGGTGGAACTGTGTGGACAAAGGCAAAGAAATCAGAATGAGGACCTCAATACCATGGTGGGGAAGTGGTTGCCAGACTCCAGTGTGGGCTAGAATTGCATTCCTGGTAGAGGTGGATATCATCTCATAACATCAGAACTTGGGGACATCCAGTGAAGCAGAATATTGGAAGATTCAGGACACATAAAACAAAGTCCTTCTCCACACAGCTTGTAAACGATGGAATTCATATCTGCAAGAGGAACTGATGGCCACCAACTTGGATGGCTTTGAAAGGGAATTAGACAAATTCATGGAGCATAAGACCACCACAAGTCACAATGGCTTTGTTCTCCCATCCCTCTTGGAGGAAGTAGGCCTCTGAATAACCAGCCGCTGGGAATCTCAAGTGGGGAGAGGGCTGTTGTCCTCATGCCCAGCTTGTGGGCTTCCCACTGGGATACTGGGTTGGCCCCTAAGGGAAGAGAATTCTGGATGAGGTGGGTCTTTGGTCTGATCCAGAAGCCAGGCTCCCCTTATGGCCTGTGTGGTTATGATTTGCAGTATAAGGGGGAAGGGACAGATATTCCTCAAAAGCAACTCCCTAACCCCAGCAGCTCAAAATTTTTCCTTTGATCCTATTGGGTTGTATCCAATGTTAGAGTAGACCCATTGAAATTAATGGACATGGGAAAACTTTGGTCCCTTTTATCCATGGGTCTACTCCGAGTAAGGGCTCCTCTCAGATTTTATTATCAGTTGTTCTTGGTTGGACACTGGTGGGCGTGTGGACTGTGGACAAGCATCAAACACACATCTGAGCTCCTTCAAAACTGGTGTGTGGCTGCGTCTTGGCGTCCATCTTAGTAGCAGGAAATGCTCCCCCCCTTAAATTAATGTACCTAAGGACCAAAGTTAATGCTACTTATGTACCAGTGGCAATTATTTTCATGGAGCTATTGAGAGCAAAGAAGCAGTATGGTGGAAGCAGAAGGGGCACCTGCCCCTTCCCATCTGTCCCCCTCCAATGGAGCTTCTCCAGCAAAGGGAACAGCAGGTGCCTGTGTCTAATGTATAGCTTGGCTCAAAGTTGCCACCTCTCCTTTAGAGAAAAGGCTCATCTCTGCATGCTGAAGTCCTGGAGAAATCCCTTTGGCAAGAAAATCCACCGGGGTGTCTCCAAGTCTCCTGGCCAATCAACTCCAAGCCCTTGGTAAGCCAGGAGAACCCATTCATACGTACTAAAACCCTCCAAGTTACACCTGGATATACTATTCTCAACTCTACCAAGGAAAGCAAATCAAGCCACAGATGAGAAGCTTCACGCTGCCCCTTTTTCAAATCTTGCTCAAAGTCTTAGTAGACTCTTAAACACCCTTGTTGGATCAGCCTTTGGAAGCATGGTAATGCATAGTGGAGATTAATTTATTAGTTCAATTGATCTCCTGCCCTTTCCCCCCAAAGACCCCAGAACGTTAAATCCCTCTCCCAATTTCTTCTCCCTGGCATCCCAGATCTGCAGCCCCTTCCCCATCCTTGCACTTGGTAGCAATGAAGCAGGGGAAGGATTGTTGATCTGCCTTCTGAACACTGAGCACTGCGGCCGGTTCTGGAGAGGGAGAAGCGCATGACGCACGGGAGAGATGCTATGTGGCAGCAGGAGTGCTGGATTGGCTCTACTTGCATGAGCACCATAAGCACCTGCCTTGTTCTTTTATATATATTTTTTGAAATAATTTTCATTTGATTTTACAAGTCTAAAAATGACAACCATACATATCCACATTTGTAGATTCCTCCAATCCCTGGACTTCCCACCTTCCCCTCCATGGGTCCTATTGTTAACCTTTTCAACTGCATATTATTCAAGAATCCATGTTTTACCGTATTTTTCGCTTCATAAGACGCACCTGACTATAAGATGCACCTAGTTTTTAGAGGAGAAAAGGGGGGAAACCCCGTTTTTTGGGGGGATCAGCTCACAGTTGTGCAGCTTCTTTTGCAAAGGGGAAAAGCCTGATTTTTTTGAGGATCAGCTCTTTTGCAAAGGGGGAAAGCCCCCTTTTTGGGGGATCAGCTCAAAGTTCTTGAGCTTACTTTGCAAAGGGAAAAAATCCTGTTTTTATGGGGTTCAACTCACAGTTCTGCAGCTTCTTTAGGAAAGGAAAGGGAGCCGTTTCTACAGTTTCCAGACAGATAATCTAATCAGCCAATCACATGTCTCTGGGGAAACAAACAGCCTCCGTCTGCAGAACACTCAGCAATGGAGGCCTGGGCAAGGGGCCGGGGCTGGAAAGGGAGCCAGCGATCAACCACACATTCGCTCCATAAGACGCACAGACATTTCCCCATACTTTTTAGGAGGAAAAAAGTGCATCTTATGGAGCGAAAAATACGTTATATTACTCCATTATCTCCATAGTACTTGCTACATTACAAGTGTTACTGCGATTCTGCTAATGTTTTCATCTGCTTACAGCGGTCTCCAAGATAAATTATAATTTTTTTCCATTCTTTGTTGACGTTTTGGTCTTCTTGATCCCTGAGCTTTCTGGCCAGTTTTGCCATTTCGGCATAATCCAGCAGTTTAGTTTGACATTCTTCTCTGGTAGGGACCTTGTTTTCTCTCCATCTCTGGGTTAGCAACATCTGTGCGGCTGTCGTCGCGATGCCATGTTCTTTTATAATGGCAATGGCACCCACCATTCCGGCAACGGTGCCGGAACAGAGTTCCAGTGATTTCTGGCTGGGAAAAAAGCTCTGCTTGTTCCCTACCCCCTCCCTCTCAGGAACCAGCAGTGAAGCTTGCTGCTCAGAAGGCAGGTGAGACACACCATGATACCTCAGCCGCCCCATCAAATGCAATGATCCACCACCCCACAGCCGGACCCCCACCAGTCTCTGTACCTCGTAGGATATCTCGAAGTTTGAAAAACTCCCGCAGGGGACTCCCCAAGGTCTCGTGTTCAATCTGGCAGATAAGCTGGGACTTCACATCGTCTCTTGTGAGTGGCACCTGCGCGGTGCTCAGCACTTGGTAGGAG